AACACATTTTCAACAAGTATATATTAGAAGCACAGCTTTATTTATAATCTACATTGTGTAACAACTATAAGTAAAAAGCATAAAAATTGAATTTGAACAATATCTAACATGAATATATAATATAATATAAAGGCAAACTAGTGTGTGTTTGTTATGCATTTGGTGTTAAAAGTCATACCATCGAACAAAAACAAGGTAAGAGTTACCCCCCTTTTTAGAATATAAAGTCATCTGGGGTTAGATGTGTTAAACTAAGAGCAATGAAATGAACATTGAGCCAGAATTGTGAAATACATGATAGTTAATTTATAACAAACAGATTCTACATTAACATTATTGATTTTCGGCTTTCCGAGAAACCTAGCTTTACCAGCCGACAGTCACATATAAACTAGAAAGTGGTACGTATCGTGTGATGGCAGAAAGCAGAGACAGTACAACACGTACAGTGGAAAAGTTATACATAAATAAAGAAAATATGTTCAAAGTCAAAACAGCTATAAACAAGTCTTTAACTATTCCACTTTTTTTCATGAAACCATTTTCATGCATTGTATTTTTCAGCACGAAGACGCGACGATACAACTTCTGGCTTCAGAGAGTGACAGCACAAGTTGTCAATATGTAATAAAATTTCTTAAAAGTAATTTTAATAAAATTATTAAATGTATAATGAATAATACAAAGAGGCACAAAGTGTTAGAACAATAGTAATGGACGTCCATAAATATTCACCCAGCGTTTCCTGTACTTGACAGAAACCATACACCTATAAATATGATTGCTTCATTAACTCCAAAACAACTTTGACAGGATAGAAAACAAGACGGAGTAAGAAAGGTTTGTGTCACTGTAATGGGAAAGAAAGATGAAATAGACAAATTAACATATTCAATCGTATTATATTCAACAGCCACGATTTAAAATAGTATTTTAAAGGAAATTGGTCCTGAAGAATGCGTCAGGCTTTGATTTAAACAATTTAAAGTACTAACTGCAGTACTGATGTTAATTGAGTTTCTCAAATTTTCATACTTCCAAATTGGCATTTACGACCAATAATATTCCCCATGTTTCAGGAATCAGAAGGAAAGCCGTACGTTACATTTTAGCAAAGTAATTTAAATGCATAAACTGGAGTGTTCAGAGAATTGCACAAATATTGTAAAAAAATAATAAAAACAATACAACTTTTCTGGGAAACCTGTGTGACCTTCTTTTCAATTACATCTGTAATCAAACAACATCAGAGTCATAAATGGTTGTTTACATGATATTTTTCCAGAGAATATATATTTTTACCATTAAAATGCATACTTGCCAATTTTTTTAAATTCCCATGGGGGAGATTCTGCATTCATAAATAGAGGTGTGTACGGTATACACCGCTGTGAGACAAAATAACCCTTGAAAATGACATTATTTGTGTTGTTCTCTCAGATGAAATCAATAGCTCTTAGAATATAGGAACTGTTTGGCAAATTCACTGATTGTAAATACTAAATTTTAGGGTCCAAAATCGGGAGCCTCCTTCCTAAATAGGGAGAGTTGGCAAGTATGCAATGCAGTAAAGGATCAGCAATTTCACATCCTGATTTCTACAATATCATTAACCTAAAAGCATTCTACAAAACATAAACAAACAATATAAAAAGTAAATCATATGAGCAAGCATAATTATACTAACAAATCATTTGACTCCAATATAAGAAGAAACTGTCCTTTTGGGAGGTTCCACAAATATTCTTATTTTCCGAATTGCCCCCACTACAGTTATTAGGTCACAAAGGATGGGTGCCATATTTGGTCGTTTTTACGGCCCCTTATCGAAAAGTATTTATTTTTGCGTAATGACACCGCTGGGTCAGACAAACATAAATTGCTATATTTGAAAAACAAATATCTGTTTAACCCATTGGGAGATACACTGGTAGTCATACATATGTATAGATATACCTTCTGGGAGTTTTCTTATTAGGAAGGGACTATAATTGGCCAAATATGACACCCTGATCCTTTGTGCAAATATTATAGAACTTATATTACCTACTGGTTAAGTATGTAGGTAGATTACACTGCAGTTGTCATTAATAACAATAGAAACCAATTTGTTTCAATTTTATGATTTTCTTTTTATTATGGAGTAAATTATTGAGATGATAAAATAATAAAAAAAAACACCAATGTTTGAGCTATAATGCCAAGATTTTAGCCATCGACCAACATTTATCGAGTACAAAATACAAGTACATAAATATGTATAGCTATTTGTCTTCTGAGCACTTGGTGTAATGTACACTAGAACGAGATTAATGGCAGGAGTCAAATACACAAGATTCATCACATTCAAACTGAAACTTCTACAAACAAAACTTAAATGGTCCAGAAGTCCATCAAATAGTTATTTTCTTTGAAAATATATTGTCAATAATGATTTTGCATTAAAAATTTAACAACCCTTTTTTTCTGGTTTTTGTGTACAAATTCATATTAAGATAGAATTAGGAAGATTTTTTGTATGTGGTTTTAGATAAAGTAAAGACAAATCAAAATCCATTATTTCTGACAATGGAAAAAAAGGTATTTTATAAAAAAGGATTGAATTCATCAGATGTCATCGACAACCAGTGTCAACATTAAATTGATGAGAAACCACAAATATCTAAAATGTTAACACAAGTTGGAGTGGTCAGTTTAACTGTTTGAAGACAATTAAAAATTTGAAAATTTGAAAATTCTCAGAACAATCAATGAAATGTTCACCTAATTATTTTCAAACATTTGTTTAAAAGCAAAAAAGCACCAAAACAATTTTTTGTGACCAATGATATTTTTCTGTAGATGGAAATTTACCTTCACAGTACATGTACAGATTACATTCGAAAGTTCACTACGGTTGTTCATTGGCTGATGAATGACACTTCAATATACTTAATCTTCAAATTTGTAATTTCGTCACAATTGCAATTACACTAAACATAATTTTGCTCCTTTACGGTCGAATCCATGCATATGTATTAACCAAGCTTCTTGCACTTTTTCACAAACTGCCATTTATTATCCTTATAAGAAAGTACCTGGTAGTCAGTCCATTTCTAAATGTCTTTGTTAACACTGATTTTGTTTTTTTCATATGACTTTTTTTCACCTTTATACACACTTTGCATGTCCTGTTTGTTGTTTAAAAGATCTTTCAGGTTAAGTAGAAATCTACTTAAAACTTGTTAAATTAAGTCAAACTCTTCTTACAACACTTGAGCTCGACTATGGTGGTCTTCCTGTCTTTGTTAGATGTCACAGCTGAAATTTGTTCCTAGACACGTGAAAGTTTTAATATGTGATACAGTAAGGCAGATGAAGATTACCAAGCAAGCAGAGTGTGAATGTTTCTGCATCAGGTAGATTTCTATAATGTCCTTCCTGTACGTTCCTATGCGTAGAACAAGCGAGTCTATACATCAATGTTGTATTCTAAAAGCGTAGCGTAATTGGTGCGGTCACCTCCGTAATTTGCATTCAAAGTGACCTTGCAACTTTTCATGCTATGATTCTTAAAACTGACATCTCCTTCCCATATTCCTGGCTGGTTGCTGGTCAGGTGTGTCCAGTCTGAATCCACGACCATAGCTGCTGCCTCAGCGCGTGGAATGCAGACACGGAATTTAGTGGAGCGATCTGGGCCCTCAAGCATTTCCTTATGTAGGCGTATTGGCTGCCACATGTAGCAACCCTCTTTCCACTGGGCATACTGTTTGGGGAAGGGATGAACGGCCTTAGGAGTAGCTTGACAGTTGAGGAGGTAATTATACACGCCTGGCAGCTGCTGGCTCGGGTCATCTGCAGGGATGGCGTACAGTTGCAGCTTATAGAAACCAGTGGTTGGGATGGTGACCATGAAGCTGATCACAGAACCCTGCGTCTGGGTGAACACAAATTCTGGGAAGTCCGTTTCCTTGTCAACGCTAATCAAGTTAGCTGTGACACGCATTTCCTTCGCAAGTGCAAATTGGATCTCAATGTAATTGCTCTCTAGGTGGATGACAGGATCGTGATGGCTCAGGGTGTTTAGTCCAAACTCACTGAATTTAATCTGGGCACCCAGGTAGCCAGGTGGTAGTTTGGGGAGGGGTGTAGTTTTGACATCCTCGTGGCATTCTACTAGAAACTGTGCAAGATGGAAGAGTGTTTTACCTTCCATACTCGGATCATTGCCATAAATTTCAAGTCCGTACTCGCCACGTGACGGGACCGAGCAGGTAATGTGGGCCGTATTACCTACAATTCTGTGCATAACATAACAATCTAATTCAGCATCGTCATAACTGATGTGCTTGAGTTTGGCCATAAATTGCATTTGTTTGGGGATACGGATCTGTAGCTCGACCTTGCCCTCTCTTGTGATGATGTTTGCGGTTTGTTGATACGTGGCCAGACCATATTTAAAGAAGGCAGAACCAGGACCCCAATGAAGGGTGGCACAGGGAGGGAAAGGCTGGGGAGGAGGACATGCAACATCCTCCTGCACAATCTTGTATTCACACACTTGCGCATAAACATTGTCTGTGTTCTCTGGGGTATCTTCCTTGGCATATACGTATAAAATATACGAGCCTCTCTCTGGTAGACGAAGACGGAATGATCCGATTCCACCAACGCTTTCGTGCATGCCGTATCTATTTAACTTGACACCCTGAAACTCCTCATCTGAATTTTCATATTGAATAGTGAAGTTGAAGGCCACCATAAGCTTATGGGCTGGGTAACGCAGACGCACATTCATTTCTCCTCGGCCATAAATGACGGCGGTCCTGTGACTGACAAATTCCAGGCCATATTTGAAGAACTGCGGTTTCATGTGTGGCATGTTCTCAAATTCCTCCAGGCTGACGGGCCTATCAAGCAACTGCCATTTTGGATCATCAGGGAAGTGAGTGTAGATTAGCTGATGTGGGTCAGGCAGGAAGAAATATTCGTCAAGCTGGTAGTGGAACTCTTCTACCTGGGCCTGTTTACCAATGATACGCCGCGCTGCCCAATGAGCATCGAGTAAACACCAGGTGCCATAGATGTAGACGGCCGTCCAGGAATGCTGATTAGAGCCGGGCGTAAACTTCTGTCCCGGGCGGTAGTCAGCTCCTTTGGCGTAACCGCTGATGATCTTGGAGTGAAGACCAGCATAACTGGAAAAACACAATGGGAAATATAGTTGATTTGTTGTCTCCATAAGGGAACAACTACTATATAAGCTATGAAATGTTTTATCCTACATAATATAATTTTGAAATTTTTAATATTCTGTGAACATAACTATATGCAAACTGATTTGGAAAAATTGATCTGTTCAAAATCGAAACTACATGAAGTGTTATTGAATGTCTCTGTAGATGTTCCATCACTGCCTTATTTAATGTGTTTAAACTTTGCAAGAAACAATCCTACGTCTCATCAAAAGCAGAAAATGATTAAAAACAGAATAAACCTGATAAAATCAATCAGAAAATACCAAATAAGGGAATATGTTACCTTACACATCATACCTGTAATATAAGTTAGAGTTATTTCCCTTTAACACATGACGCACAGATACATTGCTGTTTTAATGATCTTGCAAGCATAGCTTTATAAAGCTGACTGACTCACCAGCACATCGTATCAAACACCATGGCATACGTTGTCTTTCCAGTCTTGAGGCCCATCAACACCTCCTCCGGACTTCCCTTCTCCACATTGTTAAAATCTATCTCCTTCAGGTTCTTGGTGGCTAGCCATCGGAAGATCACTCTGTAGAACATAGTGATGAATCAGATGAGAAGCAGTTCTTTTAAAATTCGGTGCAGTACAACATGTGTTTTTATTGTATTTCGATGACATTTCTGCAGCTGTCACGTTGATATGAATGCAGTAAAGAATATATTTATTCAGTAAGTACAAATACATAGGTAACTGGGCTATGACGAGACTTTCATTATACACTAAGGCCCCTTTCGCATATCCAGTTCAACCGATTTGTCTGCTTTTAAATGTATCATTTTTGGGTATAAATTCCTTCGGCCCTGTAAATGTTTATTCAGGCCTTGCAAGGCTTTGTCAATGCTTGTCTGAAAGCAGCATCAAATTACTACGTTCGACCTTATTTCATAAACAAGCAACTCGGATATGCTTAAGTTCTCTACCTGACTTTTCTGAGATTCTGTAATGTACTATGATTTCTTACCTGACTTTTTCTATCTCGTTTGTGATATTCTTGGAGTAGATCAAATCCCACACAAGGTCTCTAAATGTTGGATGTTCACTCTTAGATACCTGGATCACAACAGAATAAAGATTTTTTTAGAAAAAGAAACAAAGCTTTAAGATCTTAAGTGTGTGTATAAATGGTGTAGATATTGTCCGTCGTAAATTTATATTTATATAATTTCTTTTTTACACAGAAACTTTTCCAGCCAGACTTTATCTGTCGCCCTGTGAGAGCCTAGTGGCCAACACATGATCTCCGACTCGAGGAAGGGATGTGGGCTTATTACAGAACAATAAATAACATTTGTTGGCTTTTCTTCTGAACTAGGTTGGCTTATTACCGAATAAATATGGTAGATGTATTAATATTTGCTGTTCAATTGTAACAATTAATAAACAAATTGTCTGACCTACCTGTATGGCGTGGTCGTCAACAGTATGTAACACCTGGCGATCAATGTTCTCCAGACTTGGCTTCTGGGCGTTGGCTGCAGGGGCTGGAGGAGGCCCCTCCTCTGTCTCACACTTGACTGGGATCAGTTTAAACTCCTGAGGTGCTGAAGGTGGCTCCTGACCAACCGAACGCTTCTCAACCTGAAGCAGAAGTAGATATATATAAACATATTTACATTTGCACTGCAACCCACTAGATGAACAATATCAGCAGAATTGCATTACATTTGAGTATGAAAGCAGAAGCTCTCGTGACGTAACACATGGTTTACTTATGACATCATACAGTAACCTTGTTCAATGAGAGTCTTGTCGCTTCACTTCAAATAACATGGAGAGTGCCCCTGCGTCAAACGCACAAATGACTACGGTTAATTATTAGTGACAATTTTATTCAAATAGGTCTGTTCCGCCAAAATCGTTTAAAAGACGATGCATAAACAAAAAGCAGTAAATAAGATTTAAGAACACAAATAAATTAATCAGTTGTTCTATAGCAAAAATGTGAATATATATGGATTGAATGGCGTTTTTTAAATTTTCGTGCGTTATGAATCCAAAAAGGTCATAATTTTGAAATGTAACCTTTGTCCCTCGATCATGAAATCATACTTACCATGATTGGCTGACTGGGGGGAATGTTGATGACGGCCTTTTGCTGGGTGGGGGGTAGAATAACATTGCCCGCACCAGGGGTGAAGGCAGCCTGACCCCCAGGCTTGGCCTGACCATGGGTTTGGGACATTCCGGGATAGTTACCCTGCTGACGACTGTCGGGGACGGTGCCGTACAGGAACTGTTGTTGTAGTAGAAACTCGGGTGGTGGGGCAGGCAAACTGTCAAGGTCAATCTCATTCTGACCCATGTTCATATCCGACACATTCTGGGCAAGCTGTAAAGTAGATCAAACAAAACTGACCATAAAAAACCTACAATCGGACTTGTATATCCTCTTACGCTGACAAAAAATATAAAGTTCTGTTATCTTTTAAGGTAATTGAACAAAGAAATAGTGTATATCCATGACTTTGTTACCATATACAACACATTCATATAAAATCTGCAACA